TTTGTTTTCAGAAGACCGTTCCAGGAGTGAATTTTGAGACACCGTTGCGGTGTGGCCTCTGTGTGCCTTCTGTAGATTCGAACATTGATAGACCCCCCCCCAAAAAAAAATATTGGATGGATCCAAAAAATAAGCCCAGTTAAAAGAAAAGTGGCCCTTCAAAATTAGTCCATTTGCTCGCGAGCACCTTAATTTTTGTGATATTAGAAAAAATGTATATAGATCTATAGATTTCAACAAAAGTTAGAGACCACTTGCGAACACTCTGAGAGGTATTCTTGAGCAAACCTGCACGTAGGCGCTTTTTGGACTTATCCAGTGGCTAAATGGCACTGCCTCAGGCGGACAATGACAGAGTATGACCAGAGGTATGACACTGCTAGCCCTCTGGCAACTTCTTGGGCTCCAACTCCGTCCTGTAGCCACGCCATAGCCCAGGCACGATCAAAGTCTCTCAGCTTTCGTCTAGGTGGCATGTTGATGCGACACCGGATTTTGCGCAAACGGTGGCTTATTATATTGCCTCCAAAGTGAGCATAGTTCGAGACCGTACGTCCGTTTATGACGTGCACCAGAAATTTTAACTGTGGAAAATCCTTGGTGTCGCACACAAGTCGATAAAAAACAGCAAATTTTGATAAAATTCCAAGAGGATTTCCGTGCTGCACGTGGTGGTTTAGGTTCTTTATGAGGCTTTGCAGTACGCGTTGGTAACCCATTAACACTTTCAGAGCAAAAATTTCGAAACATTCCTTGCTGTCTTTTTTTTGGATATTTTTAAAAATTAGGACACTCTGTCAAGGTGGTCCTTAACCTTTGTTGAAGTCTGTTTATATATACATATATAATGATACATATATATATATATATAATATATATACACACACACACACACATATATATATATATATATATATATTCCATTTTGATAAAATCTAGACGGCTAGATTTTTAAAAAGTGAATATTTTGGCCTACCTGTGATCGAGAGGATTGGAAGACAAATAAACACACACACGCACACACACACATACAATGTACACACACACACACACACACACACACACACACACACACACACACACACACACACATACACACACACACATATAGATGTAGGCGACACACTAGACCTACTAGTGGCATTTGTGTGTTTTCCTACTGCATTGCAATCGGAGATCGTAGATGAAGAGTCTAGCTGTTTGAGGTTCCTTTATCACCACTAGTGAGCAAAATGAAGCTTTCAATTGCAATTTATAAAAAAACAAAACTTATCAAACTCGTTCGGCAAAATCCATCCTTGTATGACGCTGCTTTACCACAAAACAAGGACGGCGCTACACTTTCGCTCACAAACACCGCAATCATGAGAACATTAAATAAAATCCGTGCAATTTCCGCCAACTGCCACCGTTCCGTCGCCGTTCCGTCGCCGTTCTGTCGCCGTTCCGTCGCCGCTCACCGCGATATGTGAATCGGCTACAGTTAAAAAAGAGTCCTTATGAACTTTTGTAAAACCTTTATGAATGTTCTATCTTTGTTCAACAATGAAAGTGAAAGGGAAAATTTCCAAGATAAAATCGCATTTGTTGGTTGAAAATGTGATTTCTTTCTCCCGTTCTTAATAACCCTCCACCCCTCTCTCCCTCTCCCTCTCTCCCTCTCTCTCTCTCTCTCTCTTTCTCTCTCTCTCTCTCTCTCTCTCTCTCTCTCTCTCTCTCTCTCTCTCTCTCTCTCTTTCTTTTGGTCGTGAAGAAATGTTTCTAAAAGAAATTCTGCAAAAACGTGTACCAGTCAGTGGCGGTGGGTGGACCAAGATTTGGGTGGGGCTTAGGTTGCTTCCACTTCTTTACCACCAAATAGTAAGTAATAAGAACAATGCAGTGATGTTTTTCTGTACTCACGGGGAGCCACGGCATTTTGAGAACCATTCAAACGAGAAGAGCCACCTTTGTCTTCCATCTCTTTGTTCTACGTTAAATCTTCTGGATGGTGGGGACGAAGCCGTTTCACCTCCAAATTTCTCTAATTCGTTTTTATCTGAAGAAAAAGTTGCCTCAAAGTGGTTGTATGTAATTAATAACTGTTCAATCTCAGCGGCACAAACACACAGCACTACAAACACATACCGTCTGTGAGGTGGATTGGGTTGTGTTGTTGCGGAAA